AGAAGCTGGAAGTGAGGGGGAGCAAGCGCCCTCTTCCCTAGAGCAACTAATTTCGAAGTGGTTTGCTGGACAGGTTTGATGATCTGGATCGCGAAGTTAGGCTGATCAAGACTCCACTTGGCATTCCTCTTAAGCTTGAGTGGTTTAAGAATGAAGGTTTCAGTTTCCCAACCTTCTAGAGCACCAAGAACTGGGGAAGTTTTTGGAAATGGAGGGACCATATTACCCTGAGTTGATCAGGTTATTTCTCTGTTTTGCCACAAGCAATGAGGGTATCATGCAATCTGTGGTAAAAGGGAAAATGATTAAGCTGGATTGACCGACATTAAAGGCTGCTGCGGGGCTGAGCGGCACGAGACGAGAGAAACCCCAACCCTTCAATTTTGGGGATTTTGAAGAATTGACGACCTTTCGGGACTATCAGAGGAACCCGGTGAATACCAACTATGAAAAGTTTCTGGCGGGAGGTATGAAAAAGAATTCCCGCTTAATTTCTTTTATCATTGCTTGGATGTTGAAACCTCTCTTACATAACCATGCTCAAATGTCAAGAGATGACATTTTACTTATGCATGTGATTAAGAAGAAAATTAAGATTGATTGGGTATCAGTCGTTAATGATTGTATGCGGAAAGTTAGACGGAAGGAAGATGGACCAATTCCATATGCTCTGTTGTTGTCAAAGATTTTTGAGAATGCAGGTGTGGACTTAACAGGGGAAAGGAAAATAGTTTTACATGCTTCGAACAAGATTGAAAAATCTTCCTTGCACCATATGGGGATGCTTAAACAGGAAGATAAATGGGTGTTTAAAGGAGATGTACCCCCAACCCCTGAGCCGACAACTGATGAAGATGGTGTTCCGTCACATGATGAGGATCAGCCGCCACAGGTGGAAGCTGAACCTGGTAGAGAACCAGAAGCTGAGCCAAAACCATTCTCACCTTTTGAGCAAATCATGCTAAATAAACTTGATGCAGTGATGGAAATGTCTCGAAGACATGAATCTTTATTTTCTGGTATTCTTGAGAGGTTTGATGATCTTGATCAAGAGGTGAAGCTGCTCAAGACTCACCTAGGCATACCTGAAGATGAAGATTGATTTCTATTCTATTTTGATGCTTAGTTTTAATTAGGTTTTTAAATTCAGTTTTTGAATTATCATTTTCAATTTGGTTGTAATAGTTTAAGTCTGGAACAATTTACCTGCTTTGTGCTGTTGAACAATTAATTTCTGGTGAAATTTGAAGGTTATATTGCTAATATGATGGTTTGATTGTGGTACCGAATTGTGATTTGGATGGCTGGTGCATTGATGCTCTGGTTTTGAGCATATTTGTTGATGTTATGTTTTTTAATTGCAATGTTTTTAATGAGCTTGGTTGATTGCTGATTAGAATGCTCTGTTTTGAGCATGAATGGTTGTGGATATATTGTTGATGTTTTGGTTGTAAAAATTCTGAGGTGTATCTTGTAATTTTTTATTGATCAAATAACTCTGGCTGAGATGGTGTTGTTCACAAAGATTGAATCTTGTTTTGGTATGATTCTGAGCACTTAAGGAATGTGCATATGGCTTATATTGTAAAACATAGCTTGGTTTGTTTTTGATAATGCCAAAGGGGGAGAAAGGTTGTTGTGTGTATATGGTTGTTGTTTTGCAGGTATTGTGCTTGTGTGTGTATGATTTTGCAGGTTTTGTATGTTGAAAGTGAAAGCACAATGGTTGAAGCCAAGCTAGGTTTGTCATGTTTTGAGTCATGGTTTGTCATCATCAAAAAGGGGGAGATAGTTGAGCTTAGGGGAGCCTGAACTTGATGAGATCAAGATTGTCTCTGAAGCTTAAAAGAGTTTTGATGATCACAAAATGTGTGTCAAGGACAACAACAAACATCTACCACGCAGCCCAAGAAGGTGCTTTCAATTACTTTTATGGATTTAAATTGCTCACAAGCATTACAATGCATCAGAAGATAGTATAATGGAATATATATGTCATGCAGACATGAATTAGACAGACTATCTCGTAATGAAATTGATATTGCAAGATAAATCTAAAATGGACCACGCCATTGTGAACTCACTCCTATAGCTTTATCACTAATAATTGTTACTTATGTTTTATGAAGTACTCCAGTGTTTGTTACTAGCAATTGACCAACACATTAAGAACCATTTCAGGTATACAGCAGAGAATTCTGTGAAGTTTGGGGCTCCTCGGGATACGGATCACCCTGAACTAAGACAGCCACTAGCCATGGAAGTTTGGGAGTCTATATTGCAAACAACTAAACCCAAGTCTAAGATTACAGTATTAACCAATGGACCCTTGACTAATCTGGCAAAGGCTGTATCAATGAAAAACATGAGCTCTAGAATTGAGGTGAGTCATAGTATATATAAATTTGTTATCTATCTAACCCACTTACTAACTCATCAATATTAAATTTTATATACATAAATAATCCATTTTCTTCTATTTTGTATATTATATTAGTAAAGGTTTTATATATTTTGGTTTTGTATTTTGGACCACATAAAGTAGCATTTTGGGCTATAGGCTCAATGGGCCTAGTTTTGGGCTTCATGGGCCTTTGGGATTTTGGCACCCAATATTGGGCTCGTTTTGTTTCTTTTATTATTTTCTTATGTTTGTATTTGGTTGGCCATTGTATTTAGGCCATTAGCATAGGAATATTGAAGGAATACTAAAATAGACCAAGAAACTAAAATCTAGGTTTCAGTTAGTAGTCATTTGAGATGCATTTGGATCACATGTTTCTTGCCAAGCATGGCTAAACATGTGCACCTCCAAATACAATTCAAATGTCCCCTAAATGAAATTTAGATGCATGGAAACCCCAAATTCACGGACTAGCACATGGAGCCTTGAATTTGAATTCAAATTTCCATTTGAAATTTTGAATTTTTGGCGCCAATTGTGGCTAGTGAAGTTGGCGCTACCTAGCTTGCTTCTAGGATCTATAAATGCTTGTTCCTTCACTCTTTGTAAACACTTTGAGCATAATTGAGAAATCTTCTGAATACATTTCAGTTTTCTCTCTCCAAAATCACCTAGGTTCTTAGTTTAGCTTTAGGAATCCTTCACTTTCTAAAGTCAAACCATGAGCCATCATTTGCACTCCTAGCTTGAGTGCTTCCTTCTAAGATTTGGAACTCCAAATCTTGTCTTCTTTAACTCTTCATTTCGCTGGAATCAAAGTCTCAAAGGCAAGATACATTGCGGATTCAAGCAAGGAAGATTATCTTCTCCATCTCACCTACTTGACTCCATCATCTTCTATAACTTAAGAATTATCTCAACTATAACTTCCACCTCCTCATATGCTAAAACAATAAATCAACACAAAATATAATTCTCAATTACATATATCACAAATATACATAATTAAGAATGAACATGATATTACAAGTATTTCATTAATAAAATATTATAACTTCATAAATATATATATATATATATATATATATATATATATATATATATTGGTGAAATTAGTAATAATATTAAAATGAAAAATAATTAGTAATTAGTAATAATATTAAAACAAAAATCTGATAATGATTAGTAATTGTTTGCATTATAACATGTTTACCAAAATTTTCTAAATGTTTTAAATAATTTAATATTAAATGATAAATCTGAACTAAGATTTTTTATAATTAATTAAATTTAATATTAATAAAAAATATATTAAAATATATTTTTATTCTTATTTGCATGATAGAATATTTATCAAAAATAAATATTAAAATTTTTTGTTTCTTATAATTTTTGTACTCCTACATTCTTATAAAATATCATTAATATATAAATATATTAATTTTTTTAAATGGTTAATGGAAATATGATTTATTAATATAAAATTATGAAGGGAGTCTTTGGAAGAGGTTTTTTTTTAGGGATTAAGTTGCTAAATTTTAGAGAAGTTGTCCCTTTGTGTAATAGGATCAATCAAATAGTGAGGGATTTGAATAGTATGCACAGATCCTAAATTCAGACCGTGACACTATCATTGTAATTGCGATAGATTTTAAAAAATAGACATATGACAAATATTAATATATAATTTTTTTAATTTTAGTCAAATTTATCAAAATCTGTTTAACTATTAGTTTTTCTTTTACATAAAATATATAATCTTTTTTTATCCAATACTTTTCTTTTATTTTGCAAAAAATAACTTTTATAATGTATAAAGATTGAATTTTAAAAAAATTTAATTATGATTAGAAATTATTAAAACATTTTTATCTTATATTTTCATGTTATTTTGGAAAAACAATTTTTATAATATATTTATTAATTATTAATGTATTAATTATTTTGATTTATTTGTTTTCTTTTAATTATTTTTCGGTAACTGTTTATTTAATAATATTTATATATAGAAATATTTAGGAGAATTGATGGAAGAAAATTTTAGAGAAAAGTTGTTCCTATCCTAATCATCCACGTATGATCACCATTTAATATCCTATTCATTGATGCATCTCCCATGTATGTTTACATCCATTGGCACAAAAACGAAATGGTGAAAGAAGTAAAATTATCTTTGCATAACCGATATTGCCATGAGCAACACAAATTTTCTTAAAACGAATATTAAATGGTGATCCAGAAAGGATTATTGCGTAAAAGGGTCAACAAAATGTATTTCACCACCTCAACAAACGTTCTAGAATTAGTGTAACTAAGAGATAGTGTTTTTACAGCTTGGACTAGGCTAGAAGGCAATAAGAGAATGCTCTAAAGAAACTAAGTAAGTCAGAATTTTAAAGATCTTTGGCATCATGCTGGCGATTAATCATGTGAGAAAGCACAAACTTGGACAGTTCATTGATTGCAGCTTGAACCTGATAATCACCTGCACTTGATCCATTGTATTCCGTTGCAGCAACCGTAGTCTTCTGTGAAGTGGCCAGAGCCTTCTCCAAGTCTAGCTGCGACAATGGTCTAGGAGCCTGAACCATGAAAAATACAACTATTCAATTTCATTTTATGGATTACACACGGCTAATCTATAATGGATTGAAATCTAACTCAACTTTACAAATTTGTCTTATAAACTTTACAAATTTGTCTTATAAAGATGATGATTATCCCTCCATTTATATACACTATTATGACCTTATTCATAGTTGACACAGAATTTCTAACATATTCCTTTGTTTTTGTTGCCACTTCCATCCATTGGTTACTTAATTCCAAATGGAAGGAAATATTTGCAGCTTGTACTCTAATATATTTCTTTAAAAATAGAAAGTTTATTGTGATGCATGACAAGCAGAAGCAACAGTTATATCTGACATCAATGGATCTTTCACAATTAAGCACTTACTTTCGTTGACCAGACACGTTAGTCCATGCATGCAAATATAACTCCAGACTCGTACACAGGACGAGTGAGGTCGCCCCAATATTTTTTGAAGTTTATTTAAATTTCTATAGAAGTAATTTCAACTGGTCTTGTATATTAGGATTATTGACCTTCATAATAACTACTTTAACAGTTATGATAAGAGTTATTTGATTGACAATATATAAAAGAAATTAAACTAATAGCATGCAAATTGAATTCTAAATATCAGTTATATAACGTTTATGTGAAAACTTAAATTTCCTTTACCAGGTTGTTATTTTGTTCTTGACCCCCCTTACGTTAAAGTTCTAGCTCCATTCCTAGACACACTCAAAATCGATTTACTCTAGTTAGAAAACCAGATACTGATATGAAAAGAAATACTTGATACATACACTCTCGTGCTATTTTGAACACATTTCTTCTTATTGATTAAAATCCATTAGATATCACTAGTTGAGAGAGAAAAGGAGGTGAGAGAAGGTGAGCATAACAACATTGACGGCTGGAACAAGGAGAGAGGAGGGGGAGTTACGGGAATCATGCACGAGAGCGTGTATTTGATAGATATCGACCGCCTTTTAGGAGGATGTACACTAGGAGAAATAGGCAGGAGCAGCATGGGATTAAATTGTAACAGAATAACAAAATGTATTAGTTAGAGAGTTATGTGATATATAAAGAGGGGAATAACGGTCTGTATGGGGATCTTTTAGGGATTATTGATTGGAGAAGAGTTTAGGTCTCTCAACTACTTGAAAACAATTTCAGCAATAAAATTCATAATTCATTGTTTTTCCTTCTTTTCTCAACACCTGAATTAGTTCTATCAGTATTTGGAGGGGGTGCACCAAAGAAGGGAAGGAGATTATTGAAGAGTGAGGGTTGTCGCTGGCTGAGAGAAGTTGGTTTCTTTTCTTCCTCAGTCTGGTTTGGGTTCATTTTCTATTTTCAGCTAGTGAGTATATTCTCGAACCAGTTACCTACATTTTAATTTCAGTCTACACTCTAATACTGTGATAGAGGTTTTACCCTTTGATTTCTCTATCTTAGGTATTAAATTATTAATAATGCACATATTTTCTAAATCATTCCTGGGTCCTATCAGTGTGTTAACAAGAACGTGTAAAGAGTGTGTTATTAACACAACCTGTGATAAGAATATGCATTCCACACAAGTCATCTCTAGATATCATAGTATCCATTATTTCAAAAACGAAACCGTTAAGTAGAGGAGAATGATGAAGCACTCACAGATGAACTTCTCCCTTTCTTCTCTTCATCCAGCAGTTCTCTAATTGGAAAATATGCAGCCTTCTTGCAGAGGTCAAATAGATCCGAACCAGTGTAACCTTCACATAAGTAAGCTATATGGTCAAAGTCAATGTTTTGTTCAATCCTCTCACCCTTCAAGATAACCTTCAATATATCAGCCCTCTCCCTCTGGTCTGGGATACCAATTTCAAATGCCTGAGGAAGACGTCGAAGTATTGCTTCATCAAGTTCTGAAGGGCGATTAGTGGCAGCAAGGACCATAACTTGAGCATTCTCTACAGACAGTAAATTAAAAAGTAATCATAATTAAAAACCATTGTCCAAGTACATAATAAATACAGCTGCATCTATTCACAGTATCGTATTTGCAACATATTTTAAATATTTATCCCTGGGAAGAAAATTATATAACATGTTTAAAACTTACGATCAGTAGTAAATCCATCCCATAAAGCCATAAATTCAGTTTTCATGTTTAACAATGCCTCGTGATCTGTTGTACGACGCTGACCCAAAAAGCTGTCAACTTCATCAATGAATATGATGGCAGGCTGGAGCTTATGAGCTAGGCTAAATACGGCAGCCACTGCAAAAGAGAAAAGCACCACATACATGGTCATCTAAATCAAGATTTTGTTTCAGTATGACCCTCAGTCTCAGCAGTATTAATTATACGCCAAACTAATATTCACCAAAAGTAATTAAACTCGTAGGTCCAAAAGGACCTAAACCCTCTGTCCCTAAATATAGGACGAGAGATAGAATTGGAAATGTGATACCGTGAATTAAGGTCCTACCTCAAAGAAAAATTTTCCCTCTGTCCCTAAATATAAGACTCTTTTAACTAATTCACACCCGTTAAAAAGTCAATGTAGTTAGTAACATTAAATTTGTTAACAATTTGTATTATTTATCTAAAATTATTGAGACTCATCATCTCACTCCTTTCACTCAATTACTTCAAACCTAAATAACTCATGTGTTCAAGTCATGCTCTCCAATCCTCTTAAGAGAGAGAATGAATTTATCTTATTAATGTATAAAATTTATTGTAAAGTAATTAAAAGTATTTTAGTCAAAAACTAATTAATCCAAGGAATGAATTGATTAGAGTCTCAATAAAAGTGACAAGCAAATTTTTAAAAAACTGTCTTACAAATGGGAATGGAAGGAGTATATTCACGAATGTGTGTATAAAAAAATTAAGCAGATAAGGTATAAATATAATAACAATAAATCACAATTATTTATTCAAAATTCTTATAACAAAACTTAAGCTTCAAAGATCTACCAAAGAATAACAAATGCAATATTACTAAACACGAGCAGGAAATAATGAGAACAAAATCCTAGGGACACAATTCAGAAGCAGCACCAACAACTAAGAAACTCAACGTCAACTTATCTCAAATTGACTTCCGATTTGTATACTTTCCCAATAAACAGATGCAGTGCAGGAACAAATAAGGGAAGCATTTTCCCATTTACAACAAATAAAAGCTGATTTTCTCTGAAACCAACATGGAAAAGGCTAAACCAATCCCTTCTCCCATGGTTGTAAGCTGCAAACTCTTCAAGGAAGGCTCAGTCCCTTTACCAGATGCTACTCTTCACAGATCGGTTGCAGGTACCTTGGAATATGCCACCCAGGGCACTATTCCTTGGGGTCCTCACCTTCTGCCAGCATATCCTTTGTCTCCTGATTGCCTATTTTGATGCTGACAGTGATGTTGATGAGTGATGACTACTGCTCCACTTCTGGTGCATGTGTATTTCTTGGCAGAAAACATGGTAGAAAACAATCTACTTCCTTGGTGGTCAAAGAAGAAGCTAGTTATCAAATACCCCAGCACTGAGGCTGAAAACATTTTATTTCCATCAACTCTTGGTATGCTAAAATGTCTAGAGCCTTTGTTTTTCTGCTGAATTTCGCTATTCAACCTCTGTTCTTTTTGAGGAATCCATATATAAGGATTGTAATTTATTTTCACCATGGATTGAAACAATTTCAGCCTACATTTCACCCTGTAGTTGTAGAAAAAAATAAGAGAGACGAGGTAATACTAATGTTGTGGATTTTGGCACCCAATATTGGGCTCGTTTTGTTTCTTTTATTATTTTCTTATGTTTGTATTTGGTTGGCCATTGTATTTAGGCCATTAGCATAGGAATATTGAAGGAATACTAAAATAGACCAAGAAACTAAAATCTAGGTTTCATTTAGTAGTCATTTGAGATGCATTTGGATCACATGTTTCTTGCCAAGCATGGCTAAACATGTGCACCTCCAAATACAATTCAAATGTCCCCTAAATGAAATTTAGATGCATGGAAACCCCAAATTCACGGACTAGCACATGGAGCCTTGAATTTGAATTCAAATTTCCATTTGAAATTTTGAATTTTTGGCGCCAATTGTGGCTAGTGAAGTTGGCGCTACCTAGCTTGCTTCTAGGATCTATAAATGCTTGTTCCTTCACTCTTTGTAAACACTTTGAGCATAATTGAGAAATCTTCTGAATACATTTCAGTTTTCTCTCTCCAAAATCACCTAGGTTCTTAGTTTAGCTTTAGGAATCCTTCACTTTCTAAAGTCAAACCATGAGCCATCATTTGCACTCCTAGCTTGAGTGCTTCCTTCTAAGATTTGGAACTCCAAATCTTGTCTTCTTTAACTCTTCATTTCGCTGGAATCAAAGTCTCAAAGGCAAGATACATTGCGGATTCAAGCAAGGAAGATTATCTTCTCCATCTCACCTACTTGACTCCATCATCTTCTATAACTTAAGAATTATCTCAACTATAACTTCCACCTCCTCATATGCTAAAACAATAAATCAACACAAAATATAATTCTCAATTACATATATCACAAATATACATAATTAAGAATGAACATGATATTACAAGTATTTCATTAATAAAATATTATAACTTCATAAATATATATATATATATATATATAT